CGGGGTGCACTAGCGTGCGGGCCCTAGGACCTGGGCACCTGCGATGGCAACGGCGGTCGCGCATGCGTACTCGCGATAGCAGACATGCGCCTGGCACCAATGAGGGTGCAGGGCGCCCTATTTAACAGGCTCTGACTGTGCTCAAATTGCCGTATGGTCTTTTCCTGTATCCTGTGTTCCTGAGAGATTACCTTGTTGCCGACCCTGCCTGACCCTGATTCGTTGACTGTCTCCTGCTCTGATCCCTGGCTTGTCTGACCATTCTCCTGTCTAATCCTGCATGTTTGATCTCCCTTTACAGAATCTGGCCTGTGACCCATTCATCCTTCTGCCCGCCGCTTGTACCATCCTGCCTCCACCGTTACCAACCTGGCCTGTCTGACTTCGCTTATTCTGCCTCCTCACATCAGGCTCTCACCTGCTACATACCACCGGCAAGTGCTTCTACCACAGCTGGTTGCACCCAGAGGCCGCAACCTGGTTTTGGCCTGCTCCAAGTCCATCCCCACCATCAGGTGCTCTGGTGAACAAGCAGGTCGGGGCTTAGATTCGGTGCCCTGGGGAATCCCGGTCTATGGAGATCTAGAGGCTACCGCTGGTCGGTCCATAACAATCTCTCTTTTTTTTTGTTCCTGCCGCAATCAAGATTCCTCTCATATACAGTATGCCTTATGTGTCTCCCATATCATTGCCAATGTTACTTCCTCTGTTTCATTTATTTCAAAAAATTGTTCTAGCTCTTCCTTCAATCTTTTTTCTATATCTGGGTCATTTATAACAGTCTCATTTAACCTCCACATAGCCCTTCTATTTCCTTCTCTACCCATTCACAATCTTGCTTAACCGGGGCATGATCTGAAATAGATATAACCTCTATATCAGATTTATCTAAAGTCTCCAACTGTTTATGTTCTATTAATATATAGTCCAGTCGTGAATACGATCTATGTGCATAGGAAATGAAGGTATAATCCCTTTCTCTAGGATGTTTTACTATCCAAATATCTATTAGTTGGCTTTGATGCAATCTCCTTCTCAGCCTTCTTAATTTTTTCCCTCCATCCTTCTGCACCTTAGAAGATGTATCCATCCATGGATCCAAACAACAGTTAAAATCCCCAGCTACAATCAAGCATCCTATCTTAAATTCCATTATTTTCTCTATCAAATTTGAAAGAAAATCTTCTGGATTTCTATTTGGGCAATAGATATTTACTAAAGTATATCTTTGTCCCTGTAAGTTGGATAAAATTTTTAATACAACTTAATGTTAGTTTCATAAGAAAGATGTGTCTCTTGTAAAAAAGCCACCTCTATTGAATGTTGGTGTATTTCCTTAAGTATCTTATATCTTTTGGTTGGAGAACTAAGGCCCTTCATATTATATGACATCATATTTATCATATTTCTATCCATTAGTTACTTTCATATATGTATTTCCATCTACAGATATGGGAAAATAAATCTGTCTTCCTATGGGCAGCCTCCCTAATCCATCTTCCCTCCCTCCCCCTTCTTAAAAAACTCCAAACTTATATATTGCCTTAGAATCTGACGTGGGATCCCCACACCTCATGACTCTATGTATATACATCGCTTTGAGTCACTTTGAGTCCTCAGCCTCCATTTTCACTTCTATTTCTTCCACTCTTGATAACATTTGTCGTAAGTCTTTATGAATCACTGCCACTTCATTTTTTATCAACAGTTCCAATTTTTGCAAACATTTCTGCCATTTCATTTTTAGTGGGAATTTGCAACAAGGCTCCCTGTTGTTCTATTTCCTTTTGTTCCATTGCACTTTCATTACTTATGAGATCGTTCGATTGATTATCCTCCCGTATTCCAATAGACATTCTGGGTTGTTCCCCATCAGACTTCCCCTTTTTTTCCCTATGATTATCCGGATCATGCGTTTCAGGACTCTTTTCTTGAACTGACATTTATTTTTTTATAGTACTTGTATTCCCTTGGGGAGTTTTTATACCTCCTCCTTTATTAGATCTGCTCTTCATTTCTTGTATAAGATTTTCCTTTAAACGCTATATAGGAAATATTAATCTAAATATATTCACTTCAAGTTAAAGTCACTTAAATATGAGATATAATTACTTTCTGTTAATTTTACCTCACTTTGCTCATTTTAGGAGCCACGACACCTCCTTTTTTTCTTAACCGCCCAGACCCGTCTTCACAGATATTCAAATTCCTGCATTCATCATACATTGATTTAAGTATATGAACTTAGCCGTTGTCCACAGCAACTCACCCAGTCCTGTCAGGAATGTCAATCTGGCTTCTTATGGGGTCTTGAGCGGGTGGTCCGTCTGTTTCAAGTATCTCATACCTCTCCTTTTGGAAAAATTACCGATGTTTTTTCCTTTGAATTAATTTATCAGTCCAGCTTATCCTCTCCTTCAAGACTGCTCCATCTGGGAGCCCAGCTTATTGATCAGATCTCTCCGCTCACTTCCAGCCTGCAGCAGCTCCCTCGGCTCTGTCAGTTGTTCCTATTTCACAGGGGCTCCAATGTCCATCTCCCCCGGGAACAGGTCAGCGTCTCCTGATCTCCCTGCAGCCTCCACGTGGGTGCCCTGCTATGCCAGCCAGCACTGCTCTCCGTGGGGAAACCCGATCCACTCCCTCTGTTTCCTCACCTCTCCCGGAGTAAAGTACAGGACTCCCACCTTCCACGCAGCACACACACAGCCTGGGAGAGATCACTGTTCAGCTATCAGACAGCACTTCCTCCTCCATCGACCCCCGAGAGTTTCTAATTCCCGTAAATAGTATTCCTTCGATAGCACTACAATACCACCTCCTTTATCCGCTGGTCTGACAACTATGTCATCCCTTTTTGAAAGCCTCTTAATGCCAACTTGTATCCCACTATTTTATGACGTCTTTGGGATGATTAACTTCTCTAAATCCTGGTTCACCATCTTTTTAAAAAATTCCACCTGGCTGTTACTTGAATCTGCTTAAAATCTTGAAATCTGATTAAAAAGTGATCTATTCCTTTATTTAGAGTGTAAAATCTCACTTCTAAAAGCATTACTAATTACATTTTTGGTACCTGTTAATCCCATAAAATATTTCTTGATGTTAAGTTTTCTAATAAATCTCTGTGTGTCTACATATATATCAAACTTATTGGCAAGTTTAGGTGGGGCAAACTTAAGACCTTTATCCAACACCAACATCTCTTCTTTAGTTAGATTGGACCCACTTAAATTAATCACACCTTCCCCCACTATTCTCTTTTTCTTTTGCTTCTTAACCCCTGCTCTACACCCCCTCCTCTTGGGGGGGCTTCTCCATCTTTCCACTCCTGGACTTCTATCCATCCTGTCCCTCTCTAAAAAATCCCATTGGGGATAGTCATATCTCAATGGTTCATACCTATTGTATAGTGGTATAGGACTCTTCCCTTCATAATTATACTGATTCCACCTTTCCTGTGGGTGGTGTCCGGGGCTTTTTTCATAATACCCTTGTTCAGGTCTATGATAAGTTTCTGATTGTTGTGGTACATAATTAGGCTTCGGGACATAATTTGGTCTATAGGGTGGATATTGGGGTTTACAATATTTTCCATTCCCTTTGCCCCTCGGTTTCCTATAGTATGACCCCCCATTCTTAGGTTAGGGGGCAATCTGGGTGTTTCTATTTTGATTACCCTAGCCGGAGTAGTGTTAGCTGATATAGCCTCTGTTACATTTGGTGAGGATTGCCATTTAAAAACTTGATCATTTTTAAAATCAATGAGATCCCTCTGATATTTCTTGCTTTTCCTGTATTTAATCTCCTGGTCCAATTTTTCGAGATCTTTATTCAGTCTTTTGGTGAGCCCAACCATCTCTTGAGACTCTTTTAATGGTTCTATCTTCTCTTTTATTTCACCTATTTGTATATCTAAGCTCCTCATTTTTTTCTGTTTCTTCTTTAGTAACAGTTTGAGCAACTCCAAACCTTTCTCCTGAAAGAAGTTGAACCACTCCTCAGTGGATTCTTTATCAAGAAGGCCATCACATATTGACACATCCCATCTGAGTCTCCTGGGAACTAACCTATCCTTCAAATATTTTTCATAGGTAATCATGTCCCACCATGTGGCGACTTTCTTATTTGCACCATTATATTTGTGGATTTTTTTTTTTTTTTAATCAAGCTAACTTTTATTGAGAGGAACAGATATGCAGCCACATTTCACATTCAACAACAAAAAACCATAGGACAAATACTCAAACAAGTAAAACATTATACAAAATTTTAGACCCTTTGCCGCAGGCAAGGAAAGAAGGACCAGCATAGGAACAACCAACAAAATGTATTTACAAAAGATAATTATTACACCTCCTCCTCGTTACAAGTAGATGTAGAGTCAAGCCATCTATCCCAAACTTTGTGATACTTAGCAAGGCATCCTCTATGCATATAAATGACCTTCTTATATGGTAAAGTACTATTTGCCGCAGCTATCCAGTGAAAACGTAGGCATCAGTGCCTGCAATCACATACGGGCAAGTAGAAGTCTAGCCACAAATAGCGTCTCATGAAAGAAAAGAGTATGAAATTTGTCAGTTTCTGAGCTAGGAAGAAGTCCAAGCAAACACTGTTTATGGCACAGGGTAAGGGGAGAACCCATCTTGTCATGAAGGAACCGGACCACCTGGGACCAGTAGCCCCGTATGAGGGGGCAGGACCATAATAAATGAAAAAAAGTACTATCAGGGTCTCAGCATTTAGGGCAGAGTGGACTATATTGCGGCCTGTATTTAGACATTCAAATTGGTGTCAACCAGGTTCTATGTATAATATATAGCTGAGTAAGACGTTCAGACAACCTCGGGGAAACCATCTTAGTCGAGGACAACACTTCCTCCCATATTTCATCATCGGCTGATTCGGCGAATTCGAGGAATAAATACGATTCGATGCGAATATATTCGCTGCAAATTTAACTTATAAAAAGGGTATTTCTAGGCTTCAGAGAGCCTTTATATTAGTGCAGAACACTGTACCTTTAATTTAAATGCCCTTGGAGTCTGCTGGGGAAGAGAAATAATACTGTCAGTCAGTATGACATGCAGATGAGTGCCGTCGATATTAGAATCACCGCACACTTCACTCATTTTGGGCAGTCACGGGGCCAAAACCAGAGTGTGGAGCCACAGTGTGGCGGTGGAGGCAGCAGCAATGGGAGGCCATACAGCACCCTATGACAAAATGGAACCCACCAGCAGTGTGAGGAGACCTGAAAGTGGCACATGGCAGAGTGTGGCGATGGAGACAGCAGCAATGGGAGGCCGTACAGGGACCCATGAGACACTCTGGACCTGGCAGCAGCATGAGGAGGCGGTACAGGGGCCCATGACAGATTACGGGCCTGGCAGCAGCATGAGGAGTGGTACGGGGGCCCATGGCAGATTACGGGCCTGGCAGCAGCAATGGGAGGCCCGTAATCTGCCAGCACCCTATGACAAAATGGAACCCACCAGCAGTGTGAGGAGACCTGAAAGTGGCACATGGCAGAGTGTGGCGATGGAGACAGCAGCAATGGGAGGCCGTATAGGGACCCATGAGACACTCTGGACCTGGCAGCAGCATGAGGAGGCGGTACAGGGGCCCTTGGCAGATTACGGGCCTGGCAGCAGCAATGGGAGGCCCGTAATCTGCCAGCACCCTATGACAAAATGGAACCCACCAGCAGTGTGAGGGAGACCTGAAAGTGGCACATGCCAGAGTGTGTGGCGATGGAGACAGCAGCAATGGGAGGCCGTACAGGGACCCATGAGAGACACTCTGGACCTGGCAGCAGCATGAGGAGGCGGTACAGGGGCCCATGGCAGATTACGGGCCTGGCAGCAGCAATGGGAGGCCCGTAATCTGCCAGCACCCTATGACAAAATGGAACCCACCAGCAGTGTGAGGAGACCTGAAAGTGGCAAATGGCAGAGTGTGGCGATGGAGACAGCAGCAATGGGAGGCCGTACAGGGACCCATGAGACACTCTGGACCTGGCAGCAGCATGAGGAGGCGGTACAGGGGCCCATGGCAGATTACGGGCCTGGCAGCAGCAATGGGAAGGCCCGTAATCTGCCAGCACCCTATGACAAAATGGAACCCACCAGCAGTGTGAGGAGACCTGAAAGTGGCACATGGCAGAGTGTGGCGATGGAGACAGCAGCAATGGGAGGCCGTACAGGGACCCATGAGACACTCTGGACCTGGCAGCAGCATGAGGAGGCGGTACAGGGGCCCATGGCAGATTACGGGCCTGGCAGCAGCAATGGGAGGCCCGTAATCTGCCAGCACCCTATGACAAAATGGAACCCACCAGCAGTGTGAGGAAACCTGAAAGTGGCAAATGGCAGAGTGTGGCGATGGAGACAGCAGCAATGGGAGGCCGTACAGGGACCCATGAGACACTCTGGACCTGGCAGCAGCATAAGGAGGCGGTACGGGGGCCCATGGCAGATACGGGCCTGGCAGCAGCAATGGGAGGCCCCGAAATCTGCCAGCACCCTATGACAAAATGGAACCCACCAGCAGTGTGAGGAGACCTGAAAGTGGCACATGGCAGAGTGTGGCGATGGAGACAGCAGCAATGGGAGGCCGTACAGGGACCCATGAGACACTCTGGACCTGGCAGCAGCATGAGGAGGCGGTACAGGGGCCCATGGCAGATTACGGGCCTGGCAGCAGCAGCAATGGGAGGCCCGTAATCTGCCAGCACCCTATGACAAAATGGAACCCACCAGCAGTGTGAGGAGACCTGAAAGTGGCACATGGCAGAGTGTGGCGATGGAGACAGCAGCAATGGGAGGCCGTACAGGGACCCATGAGACACTCTGGACCTGGCAGCAGCATGAGGAGGCGGTACAGGGGCCCATGGCAGATTACGGGCCTGGCAGCAGCAATGGGAGGCCCGTAATCTGCCAGCACCCTATGACAAAATGGAACCCACCCAGTGTGAGGAGACCTGAAAGTGGCACATGGCAGAGTGTGGCGATGGAGACAGCAGCAATGGGAGGCCGTACAGGGACCCATGAGACACTCTGGACCTGGCAGCAGCAAGAGGGCGGTACAGGGGCCCATGGCAGATTACGGGCCTGGCAGCAGCAATGGGAGCCCGTAATCTGCAGCTTAAAATGGAAGGCCATACAGAGGAGACCTATGTTAAAAATAATAACATGTTTGGGGCATGATTCATGGCGGATTTAGTCAGTTGTGTCAGGAACTGGTGGTTTGAAATCCAGACTAATCCACGCCTGATTCATTTTCCACAAACGTGAGTCTCTCCACACTTTGAGGGAAAGTGGACATGTCAGTGTCCTCCGCAGCAATGGAGTTACAATACCTCCTGCCGCACTAAACACAGGCTCCCATGATGCCACGCTACTGGGAGGCCGGGCATGACAGCCTTTCAAGGGCAAATTCAGCTAGTTGGGGCCAAAGGTCAAGTTTCGTTGCCCAGTAGTCAAGGGGATTGTCTACCTCGGTTGGCAGGGTGCTGTCCAAGTAGGCCCAAGCCTGTTGTGTTTGAGGTCCTGCTCCAGGTCCACCTGATGCTGCAGCTGCTGCTGCTGCTGCGCTGGTGGTTAGTAGTTTCCTCACTGCGCTGGTGAAGAAAGCTACTCATCATCGACTGCAGACTGAGGCAGCCGCTGCTGGTGGAGCTGCCACTGCTCCTACCACCCACCCCCCACCCCTCCCCTGCTGCCATGGCAGCGGAACGCGAGCGCACAGGGCCCCCACAGTGTCTGAGGATGGACGTTGGCGCAGAAAGGCAGAGACCAACTGACTACATAGGTGGTTTTTATAGTACGTTATTTTGGCCTCCCTCTCAGCAGGTGTGAAAAAGGCCACCATTTTTGAACGGTAGCGAAAGGCAGAGACCAACACTACATAGGTGGTTTTTATAACAGTTATTTTGGGTCCAACAAGGTGGACAGCCAGGGTCCAACAAGGTGGAAGCAAAAGTCCCCTCTGTCTGATGGTTATTATTCGGCTGTCGCTACGCAAGCAACCGAGCATGCTATGGGCCATTTGTGCCAAGGAATGCGAGGGACTCCCTGCCTCCATCTCCACAGCATACTGCCACGGTGCGTCTGGGTCCTCTGTCTCCTCCCTCCTCCTCTACCAGATGCTCCTGCTCCTCCACTCCTGTCCGCTGAGTGGAAAAACCACCCATTTCACTCAATAATTCCTGAGCACCAATGTCCTCCTCTACCTCCTCCTCTTCTTCCTGTCCTGCCCCCACAGGGGTCATGTGGCGTTGAGATCTGTGCGCCACGTCTACCGCACCCTGACCAGCCATTGTTAACAGCATTTGTTCCAGGACGTGCAACAGAGGAATGACGTCGTTCATCCCATAGTCCTGCCGACTCACGAATAGCGTGGCCTCCTCAAAGGGCCTGAGCAAGCGGCAGGTGTCACGCATGAGCTGCCAATGGCTGACATCGAAGTTACACAGGGGAGTACCTTTATCCGCTTGTAACATCAGGAAATCGGTGATGGCCTTTCGCTGTTCGTAAAGGCGGTCTAACATATGTAGGGTTGAATTCCACCTTGTTGCAACGTCGCAGATCAGGCGATGCTGTGGAATTCCGTTCTGCCGCTGCAGCTCAAGGAGGGTGTGTGCTTTGCGGTGTAGGAATGGCTGAAATGCATGCAAAGTTTACGTGACATTTTAAGGATGTCTTGCAGTGGGATGGTGGATTTTAGGAACCGCTTGACAACCAGATTGAACACGTGAGCCATGCATGGCGCATGGCACAACCTTCCTTGACGCAGAGCAGACACCATGTTCTTTCCGTTGTCGTCAACATGGTTCCGATTTTCAGTTTGCGCGGAGACAGCCATCTGTCGATTTCTCTGTTCATTACACTCAGAAGTTCCTCCCCTGTGTGACTACGTTCGCCAAGGCATACCAGGTGCAGCACAGCGTGACACCGTTGCGCCCTGCACATGTGATATGCCGGTCGGGTAATGGGACTTGGCACAGGGGGTGGCGGCTGAGGACACGGCGGAAGAAGAGGTGGTAGAGGCGGACATCTTTGCTGGACCAAGGACGTGCAAACGTGGAGGCAAAAGCGGCGTGACCTGTCCAAGTTGCTGGTGCGGCTGTGCCGGCACCACGTTCACCCAGTGGGCCGTAAATGACATGTACTGTCCCTGACCGTAGTTACAGCTCCACACGTCGGCGCTGCCGTGCACTTTGGCAGAGACCGACATGCTCAAAGACTGGCCCACCATCTCTTCTTCTACATGTGAATGCAGGGCTGGCACTGCCTTTTTGGCGAAGAAATGACGGCTTGGCACTCTCCACCGCGGCGCGGCACAAGCCATCATTTCTCGGAAAGGTGCTGAGTCCACCACTTGGAAAGGGAGGGACTGCAGCACCAGCAACTTGGACAGGAGGACGTTCAGCTTCTGCACCGTCGGGTGCGTGCTCGCAAACTGTTGTCTCTTGGAAACGGATTCCAAGAAAGACTGCTGACGGAATCCGTGAAGAGGAGTAGCAGGAGAAGGAGCATCTGAACGAGCGGAAGATGCCAACGAGCGACAACTCCCCTCAGCAGAGGTGTTGGAGCCTTGACTGGCTGATAGAGGGCGATTGACGTCGGGTGACGGAGCAAGTAATGGAGCGGGTGATGGAGCGGGGGCTGGGGCAGGCAGAACCGCCGTATCTTTATCACGGTTTTCCCAGGCCACCGAATGGCGACGCTGCATATGCTGACGCAACGCTGTAGTCCCAACATGGGCCCCCTGGCCACGCTTGACTTTCTGGCCACATAGTCGACATACGGCTACGTTTACTTCCTCGGGCGGCTTGACGAAAAATTGCCACACCGCCGAGTAGGAAACTTTGCCCCCGCTACTCCTCACTGGCTGACTGCTACTTCCTCCGTGCACACCGGCACCACTACTGGCCGTGGTGGTGGTAGGCTGCAGTGGAGCTGGTGCTCTACTCCGTGGCCGTTTGCCTCCACTGACACTGCTGCGACCCTGCTGCCTCCTGGGCAACCCACCGACTGTTTTGCTCGCTGCCAAGCTGGCACCCTCTTCTCCTGATGATGCGGAAGCAATAGCCTGATGACGACGAGGCTGCCAAGTGCGATCAGCCTCATCATCATCAATTAGGGTCTCCGCCTCACTACTAGCCCCCTCGGCTGCGTGTGGGTCAGGAGACAGACCTGTCTCTAGACCGGCTACCGAGCCACTCTCCTCGCCAGTACTTCTTCGCCTGGCTGCTGAAGAGGCGGATGTCTCCCCCCGTTCCTGACCGCCCTCTGTTAGCTCTTCCTCACTGTACAGTGGGGCTGAGCCCACAGCATGCGATACTTCGCTTGGTGAGGGAACACCAAAGGACAGGGGCAGGTAGAGGACACGTGATTTCAGTGGGGCTTGCTCCCGGGCCATGCCAACTAACGGTTGTGTCTGACGTACCCACCGACCGTTGGCTGTAGGTGTCAGAGGTGACCTGGGAAGAGGAAGACGACCGAGCCAACCAATCGATGACGGCAGGGTTGTCGGTGGAGACACGACCGCTGGATGACACCGGGAGCACTGGCCTCTGGCTGCGACTAGTGCTGCCTCGACCCCTTCCTCTGCTGCCACGTCTGCTCGCTCCTGAAACATTGCCTCCTCTGCCACTCCTCTGCGTGTTGTCTGACATACTCTTTAATTCAACGATTCTGTGTCCCTGAGTAACGATTCTGTGTCCCTGAGTAACAATTCTGTGTCCCTGAGTAACAATTCTGTGTCCCTGAGTAACAATTCTGTGTCCCTGAGTAACAATTCTGTGTCCCTCAGTAACAATTCTGTGTCCCTGAGTAACAATTCTGTGTCCCTGAGTAACAATTCTGTGTCCCTCAGTAACAATTCTGTGTCCCTCAGTAACAATTCTGTGTCCCTCAGTAACAATTCTGTGTCCCTCAGTAACAATTCTGTGTCTGTCCCTGAGTAACAATTCTGTGTCCCTGAGTAACAATTCTGTGTCCCTGAGTAACAATTCTGTGTCCCTCTGTAACAATTCTGTGTCCCTGAG